TAAGTGATATTGGAACATCATTTAAATCACCCAAAAGGTCATCAATCAATAAGGAGCTAGTCTAAAATAGCTAAAAGTTCAGAAAGGGAAAATCAACAAGGTTGACAGCCTAGTAGGCTCTTCAAAAAAAGAATGGCTGATAGCTTCACTAGTAAATTCTATATGACATTAAAAAATGAACACCAATCCTCCTCAAACTCTTCCAAGAAACAGAAGAGAAAGGAACATCTTCCTACCTCATTCTGTGATGTCAATATTACCATGACACCAAAGCCAGCTGAAGACATCACAAAAAATCCCCTACGGACTAATATCCTTTATCAATATGGATGCAAAAATCTTTGGTGAAATACTAGCAAACTGAATCCAGAAGCATATTAAAAGATTATACACCATGACCAAGCGGGATTTATTCCAGGAACCCAAGAGCGGTCCAACACACATAAGTCAGCGTACTACACCACATTAACAGAATGAAGGAAAAAATATATATGGTCATCTTAATGAAGAAAAGGCATTTGGCAAAATCCAATACCATTCCATGATTAAAACACTCCACAGCCTAGGAATAGAAAGGATGTTTCTCAAATAAAGGGCATTTATGAAAAACCCACAGCTAACATTACACTTAATGATGAAAGACTGAAAGCTTTCCTTATAAGATCAGGAACAAGACAGGGATGCTTGTTTTTGCCACTTTATTTAACATTGTACTGGAATTTGTAGTTAGAGCAACTAGGGAAGGAAGGAAGGAAGGAAGGAAGGAAGGAAGGAAGGAAGGAAGGAAGAGAGGGAGGGAAAGAAAGAAAGAAAGAAAGAAAGAAAGAAAGAAAGAAAGAAAGGGCATCTACACTGCAAATCTCCAAAATCTCTATTTGCAAACACAATTTTGTGTATAAGAAACCTTAAAGAACACACACACACACACACACGCGCACACACATACACAATATCAGAGCTAATAAATGAGTTCAGGAAAGTAGCAGCATTATTCATAGCCAAAAAATGGAAATAACCCAAATGCCCATTCACTGATGAATGGGTAAACTAAATAAGGTATGTCCACCCACTGGAATATTATTCAACCATAAGAAGGAGCAGAGCACTGGTACCTGCTGCAACATGGATGAACCTTGAAAACATGTCCCATGAAAAAAGTCAGGCAAAAAACACCAAATTGTATGATTATATCTTTTATTTTTAGAGAGACAGAGCATGAGTGGGAGAAAGGGGCAGAGAGGAGAGAGAGAGAGAGAGAGAGAGAGAGAGAGAGTCAGTCTCAAGCAGGCTCCATGCTCAGTGTCCGACATGGGGTTCGATCCCACGACCCTGGAATTATGACTCAAGCCAAAATCAAGAGTCAGACGCTCAACCAACTGAGCCACCCAGGAGCCCCCATATGATTCTATTTAGTAGAATCATTTGCCAGAATTGCCTATTTGCCAGAATAGGCAAATCCATAGAGAGAGGAAGTAGATTAGTGGTTGCCAGGGGATAGGAAGAAGGAAGAATTGGGAAGTAGGAGGTTTCTTTTTGGGCTGATGGAAATTTTCTGCAATTAGAGTAATGGTGATAGTTGCACAACATTATAAATACACTAAAAAACCACTGAATTAAGGGCACCTGGGTGGCTCAGTTGGTTAAGCATCTGACTTCAGCTCAGGTCATGATCTCGTGTTCGTGAGTTCAAGCCTCAAGTCAGGCTCTGTGCTGACAGCTCAGAGCCTGGAGCCTGCTTCAGATTCTGTGTTTCCGTCTCTCTGCCCCTCCCCTGCTCACACTCTGTCTCTTTCTCTCAAAAATAAATAAATGTTAAAAATTCTTTTAAAAAAACACTGAATTTTATACTTTATAATGACTAAACTGGTGAATTTTGTGTTATGTGAATTTTACCTCAACAAGAAATTTTTTTTAAAAAGAGACAATGGCCTTTAAATATCAAGATTGAGGACCCCTGAGGAAAACTGATGACATTTATGGGGTTTTTATACTACGATTTTTCAAAAATGATCCTTACACCAAGAGAACCAACATTGAAGTGATAGGTGTGTCCCATCATGCAATCATGCAATTTTGTGAGACTATTTAAGAAAAAAAAAAAAAAAAA